TATACACAAGTCTTTCATTTTTCTGAGATTCTTCCTCATAACCTTCTGGTTGGCTAATATAGAGTTCACACTCAATTGGAGCATGTAGATATGCTGTTTTCACATCCATCTAGTGAACAACCATGTTCTTGTGTGCCACCTTTTGCATTAATACTCTGATGCTTGCCATGCTAGCAGCTGGTGAAATGGTCTCATCATAGTTTACACCTTTCTTTTGACCGAACCCTTTGGCAACATATCTAGCCTTATATTTGTCTGATCCATCACTGTTCTTTTTGATTGCATACACCCATTTTCCCCCCACTAGAGCTTTGCCTTGTGGTAAGTTGGTCAGGGTGAAAGTAACATTCTCTTTTAATGATTGCATTTCCTCACCCATCGCTGTAACCCACTCTTTTGAATTCACTGATGTTAACATACCATACCACTTTATTTATAAAGCACTTAAAACAGCAACAAGGCCAACCAAAGTGCTGTACAGACAGAACAACAGGTAACACACAAAGCAAATTACAAAATGAGGTAAATCAGAATATAGACATAAAAACGATGCAGATAATGACGACAAACCAGTGTGGAGCGTACAGGATCAAAACACAGATCATCTGGTGTTGAAAGCTACTGAATAGTAGTGAGTTTTTAAACGGGACTTGAAAACCGAGAGGGAGGGGGCCTGTCTGACAAGCAGAGGTAACTCGTTCCAGAGTCTTGGTCCTGCTACAGAGAAGGCCCTGTCACCTCTGCGCTTAAGAAGAGTTCCTGGAACTGTGAGGAGCAACTGGTCCGCTGACCTCAGGGAGCGTGGTGGGACATACGGTTGTAGCAGATCAGAGAGATGGGGGGGCGACACTGTTCACTGATTTGTAGACATACAGGAGTATTTTGAACTGGATTCGAAAGTGAACCGGTAATCAGTGCAGTGAGGCCAAAACTGGTGTAATGTGCTCTCTTTTGCCTGTACTGGTTAAAAATCGGGCTGCTGCATTCTGGACCAGTTCAGCACGTCTCTGTAATTGCAATGTCCAAGGATCTCATGCTTAGCAACCCCACAGCACCTTGATCCATCTGCCAACTCCACATAGTGCCTCTCGGCCTGGAAACTTTCATCAAACCTTCGGAACTTCCTAATGTTGGTGATGATGTGTGTCGTTGCACCTGCGTCCACCATCAGACCTCTCCTCTTGATGTCATCCATTCTAGTGTCTGTGTCGCTCACCCGGAAAGCATACTCTCTGTCGCCATCCGTCTCTTCAGCCACTTTGCGTGCGTTGTCCCGGTGCTTTCTCCGCCTGCAGGAGAGACGGTATAAAAAAAAAGATCTCTCACTCTATGTCCTAGACAGGGCATGATCTGAGGCGGCAAAAAAAACCTACCACAGCAAAGCAACATAAACAAACGTTATACATGTACGTATAGGCCAGTGAAAACATTGAATTGTTCAGGGAAAGTTGTAGCATAGTTCAGAGCCGTTATAGCCATTAAAGGCATTATACCTTAAAATGTCCATTTTCTTCACTTAAATTTTCCGTGAACAGCAGTTTTTTTAATCCATATTCCAAAAGCAACAGCGGAGCAAGATTCAGCACGTCTTCCTACGTTGTCGCCATAACCAGAAGTCCTTTACATACATTTTTATCAATTTGTTTTTTTGTTCTAGTGGTTTTCATTGTCTTGATGTGAACAAACTCCGGAGCTTCTTAAATTAGGCCAGATTTCCTTTTATTAATTTAACTTCTTCTGTTTCTGTGCAACACAAAGGCACATCTGTAGCACAATAAATAACTGTCATGTGCTGTGTATTATGCTTGAAAATGTGTGTGTGCCTGTGTGTGTTGCTGTCCAAACCAATCCTCAAGTGGCTCGTCTAACCTTAAATGGCAGTCTGCAGCTTGGACTCTTCTTCCTCTGGATGTCACTTTTCTCTTTGTTTTCCTGATTTTCTTTTTTTTGTTTCCATCCACAGAGTTTTCTTTGTTACTACACTTATGGTGTGTGTGTGTGTGTGTGTGTGTGCGTGTGTGTGCGTGTGTGTGTGTGTGTGTGTGTGTGTGTGTGTGTGCGCGCGCACGCCTTTGCTTGCATTCCTATGGTTATGGTGCATGTGTGCTTGCAGTTCCACTACTCAGATTCTGACTCGACACACCCATCCAGCCCACACAGCCATGTTTCTGTCACAGCAGGAGGACGTGGCATTCCTTTATATTTATTCCTCTCGGATTTGCTCTTAATCTTTTGGGGTGGGGTGGGGGGGTGGGGGGGGGGGTTAAACAGAATGAACCAGCAGCGTGTGTCCTGGTACATCAGACCCTGGTCTTTAGTTTGCAGGCTGATCAGGGAAGCAAGTTTCTCAGACTAAAACCAAACATATGTTTGCTGGAGTCTGACGACAGAGTCCATGTTGGACATGCTGATAAGGACAGCTTCTATTTGTGCAGCTGGACAGCCTCTCTCTTCCCTGATGATGTTTTTCCTGCAGTTTCTTTATCAGCCTCCTTGATAATTCAAGTGAAAGTCCAGCTCGGTCATCAGACAGTAATGTCTGAGCTGTAGAGGGTTGGCTTTTAACTGAAATCAAGAAGACAGAGAGAGAACTCAAGTCCTCAAGGTGATCAGTTCTGTGTGAAGCGAGTTATTTAGGAGACAACTGTGTGTACTTTGTGGAAAATTCAAACCATCCTTCCTTCTACTATCTCTAGTCCCCTGTCAAATGAGACAACTTTAAAAATTTCACTAGAGCCTGATTTATGTTTGGACAGTTTTTGTCCTGTTGAGTTCTGAATTGTCAAAAATAATAACCTCATCCAAACCATCCACATGCCTGCTAGATCCCATCCCAACCAGACTGTTTAAAGAGGTATTTCCACTAATTAATGTCCACATTTTGGATCTACTTAATTTGTCTTTAATGGATGGTTATGTACCACAGAGCTTTAAGGTTGCTGTAAATAGACCTTTACTTAAGAAGTCTGATCTTGATTCAGAAATTCTGGCCAACTATAGATCTATATCTAATCTAACTTTCATCTCAAAAATTCTAGAGAAAATAGTTGCAGGTCAGTTGCGTGAACATCTACAAAGAAATAATCTGTTTGAAGAGTTTCAGTCAGGGTTTAGAGCTCATCATAGCACAGAAACAGCACTAGTAAAAGTAACTAATGATATTCTCATGGCCTCAGACAATGGACTTGTGTCTCTACTGGTCCTGTTAGACCTCAGTGCTGCATTTGATACAGTTGATCATAATATTTTACTACAGAGGCTTGAATATGATGTTGGAATTACAGGAACAGCTCTAAAATGGTTTGAATCATATCTATCTGATAGAATCCAGTTTGTAAATGTAAATAATAAATCTTCTTCATACACCAAAGATAGTCATGGAGTTCCTCAGGGCTCAGTGCTTGGGCCAATACTCTTTACTTTATATATGCTTCCATTAGGTAAAGTTATTAAACAGCATGGGGTAAATTTTAATTGTTATGCTGATGACACACAATTATATTTGTCCATTAAACCCAATGAATCCAATCAGCTACTTAGACTACAAGCATGTCTTAAAGAGATAAAAACCTGGATGACCCTTAACTTTCTCCTGTTGAACACAGACAAGACTGAGGTTTTGGTTTTTGGACCTGAGCACCTTAGGAATGAATGTTTCAGTCTTTCTCCCTCCTTAGATGCATTAATCTGTCCTCCAGCTCTAATGTTAAAAATCTTGGTGTTATTTTTGATCAGGACATGTCTTTTATCCCCCACATTAAAAACGTTACTAGAACCTCCTTCTTCCACCTGCGTAATATCACTAACATTAGAAACATCTGATCTAAAGATGATGCAGAAAAACTGGTCCATGCATTTGTCACGTCTAGACTGGACTATTGCAATGGTTTATTATCTGGGTGTCCAAATACTTCTTTAAAACGTCTTCAGTTGATCCAAAATGCTGCTGCCAGATTCTTAACTGGAGTTACTGGGAGAGATCATATCTCTCCAGTTTTAGTTTCTCTCCATTGGCTCCCTGTCAAATCCAGAACAGAATTCAAAATCTTACTTCTAACCTACAAAGCTCTCAACAACCTAGCTCCATCTTATATTACAGATCTTATTGTTCCATATTTTCCTAACAGAGCACTTCTCTCTCAGACTGCAGGTTTACTTGTGGTTCCTAGAGTTTACAAAAACAGAATGGGAGGCAGATCTTTCAGTTCTCAGGCTCCTCTCTTGTGGAACCAACTTCCAATCTCTGTCCGTGAGGCTGACACATTATCCAGTTTTAAAACTAGACTTAGGACTTTCCTTTTTGATAAATCCTATAGTTAGGGTCGGCTTGGGTTTCCTGAGCTGTCCCTTAGTTCTGCTGCTATAGGCTTAGACTGCTGGAGGACAAACTGACCACAATTTTCACTCTGCTGCTTCTTTACTTACTCTGCTCAACCTGTTTTGTATTTGTCATTATTTTTTCTATCCTTAACATGTTTTTATCTTTCAGGTACACCTGGACCTATATCTGGACCTACCATTCTGTGTTGGTCTGTCTCTCCTTCCTGTCCTCTCAACCAGCCGGTCAAAGCAGATGGTCTCTTGTCCTGAGCCTGGTTCTGCTGGAGGTTTCTTCCTTTAAAAGGGAGTTTTTCTTTCCACTGTCTCCACTGTGCTTGCTCAGGATGGGAGACTGCATTGAAGCCAAGATTCATCTTGTCTGATGGATTCCTTAGATAGAGAACTTTACTAATTGGCTTTTATGTGAATGTTCCTGTAAAGTGCTCTGAGACAACTTTGTTGTGATTTGGCGCAATATAAATAAATTGAATTGAATTGAATTGAATTGATACAGGGGGTGTTTCCCCAGAAATCATTGCACATGTAGATTTTTTCCCATTCCATAAATATTACAAAGTTTGTTCAATTATAATCCCAACTGTATTTCTTTAGTTTATGTGGTATCTAGGAAACCGTTTTCATTTCAGTGAATCCTTCTGTCTGCTTCCCATACCAGCTGTCCTGCGCAGGCTCCAGCTGGGCGATGAGCCCCCTCGTGGTGCCTGGAGACTTTAGTCAGCCGGCCAGCCCCTTTGGCTGTCTGGACAGCTCTGCTGCCAAACACAAACTGGTCCTGAGACACAAAGCCGGCAACCGGAGGAAACCTGCCAGTGTAAGACACACACACATTACTACACACCTCACATGACCTAGAAAGTATTATTTTCTTCATTTTATTGAATGTTTGTATATGTATTGCATGACCATGAACTTTTTTAAATCCAAAAGTTTGTTACAGAAGAAAAAGAGCTGCTTCTTTAAAAATCTAAGTTGGCAGGTTTATCTCCCTTAATTTTTAACTCTGTGTGCCTCAGAAACATCTAGAAACTAGATCAAATGAACTGTTTGGAAACCAGTTGTTTTGGATATGTTCAATTATTCTGTTCAGTCCTCGTCTGTTGAGCACAGTCAAGAAACAACAACTATCATTTTCTCACTGTATTTGTTTTATTCTTCGATGATGTGAATTTATCTGACTGGGATGATGTTTTACAAACAAGAGTAGCTTACAGGAGCGACTCTAGAAATTGCCCTTTAGGCGTGCTCAGCCCCCAGTGTTGACAATGACTCTTAGCTTGAACAACACATTGGCCATTGGCATTAGAAACATTTTTAAAGTGGAGGGGACACATTCGTGGGGGGGTCTGAGGGTCCTCCCCCAGAAAATTTTGAATAAAGTAGATGCCATGTCCTACATTCTGGTGTATTCTTTTATTTTATTTTTGGGGCGGCTGTGGCCAAGTGGTTAGAGCAGTCATCCTCCAACGCAAGAGTTGGGGGTTCGAATCCACCAGCAGTCACAGTCCGAAGTGCCCCTGGGCAAGACACTGAACACCTCGTTGCCTCCGATGTGTGTCCATCAGTGTATGAATGTGATAAATCTCTGATTAGTCTCTTTAGAATGATTTGTTCAATTATCTTTGTAGAGATCTAGTATAGAGCTGTATGAATGGGTCAATGAGGCACAGATTGTTGTAAAGAGCTTTGAGTATCTTGATCAGATAGAAAGGAGCTGTATAAGTACAGTCCATTTACCATTTACCATATTTTAACGGGTTTTTAAACGTCTATGTTTACACATAATAGGCCTACTTCAATAACTATTTTAGAGAGCATGGCACAACAAGGATTCAAGGACTCAAGGTTCTTTACTTGTCATTTGCACCTCATGTGGTACATGTGGTGGAACAAAATTATGTCCACAGGGACCCAGTTACATCCAACAATAAAATGTAAAAGAAAAACAGTAATAACATCTAAGATATGAACTAAGAAAAACATCAACTAAAATACACTAAGCACTAATAGCATAAAAACATTACGTTGAACATAAGCACGAACATCCGCATGAGTCTGTGTGAGCAGATGAGCACCCATGAACTCATCAACATGAAACAGATCAGCAGCAACATGAAACTGATCAGCAGCAACATGAAACTGATCAGCAGCAACATGGTGTGATTTTTTTTCACAGTGATTATCCTGGTCAGAGATTCATGAGTCTAACAGCCTCAGGGTAGAAGCTGTTCCTCAGTCTAGTGGTTCTACACTTAATGCTCCTTAACCTCCTTCCTGAGGGGAGTGGGGCAAAAAGTGACATCACTGCTCCCGACACAGACAGAACTTGGCGTTTGAGCATTTACCTAAACTTTCTCGGTTTACTGCTGGGTGTACTGCCAGAAGAAACACAGCAAATAAATGAACCCTAAACTGGATATCTGTATCTGTGGTCTTTAATGGGAGTACAACTTCATACTGCAGCTCTAAACCAGTTAATTTCCTAGAGAACACCAAACCTCTCCTTTTTATCATCACTGTTGTGTTCAGCTGCTCATGAGGTCGGCCGCAGGGCTTTATCCAAGTTTTACATTTTTCCAGACTCTGTTTAGGTTTTGGAAATGGAATAAACTGTATTCCACCTTCTGAATGCTCAAGCTAACGTTGTCTGAATTACATGTTCTCCACTGTCAGCGTTTAAACATATTTTCTGATGAAGTTTCACAAAATCCCTCTGACTGCAAAGAGTCCGTTTCACTTCAGGACAAATTGAGGTCGCTGACTGGTCAGTTGCTGACAAGTCTACTGTACTGGTTTGATTGACAGGTGGCGTTGGTGAATCTAACATTTGAGAACTGAGTTTCTTTACAAAATCCTAATGATGGTTTCTTTATTTTTTAGGGGTGTTGAGTTCAGATTTAGGGGTGCTTCAGCACCCCCAAAAAGAGGCTAAAATCGTCACTGGTGGCTTATATGATTGTTTCTCCAGGTGTTTAGTTTTATGTAAACTTCAGACACACAATTGCATCCTATTTATACCATACCATATCATACCAATTTATTTCTAAAGCACTTAAAATACAACATACTGTAGCAGTCGTCCGAAGTGCTGTACAAAAATAAAAACAAACCAAAAAACAACAG